GTCCTGCGGCTCCTGTGAATAGTTTTACTGCTGGAGAGAGAAGGAAAGGGGAGGATGTGGCTCTGGAAAGAATTGGAACCCAAAATGATGCCCAGACTGTGGGCGTTTGCTCCCAGTGTGCACTGCCAGGGGATCCGGATGATCTCTGCTGTGAATCCGTGTGACATGCACTTTCCCTTCATGTTTGGCTGTAGAAGGAGGTGCCCCATAATCCCCATGAAGGCTTTAACCTGCCCGAGGGGAGACTGAGATGAGCTCTAAGGCAGAAGCTCTTCCCTGGGAGGGTGCTGAGGCGCTGGCACAGGGTGCCCAGAGAAGCTGTGGCTGCCCCATCCCTGGCAGTGTTCAAGGCCAGGTTGGACACAGGGGCTTGGAGCAAGCTGCTCCAGTGGAAGGTGTTGGGATTGGAGCTGGATGAGCTTTAAGCTCCCTTCCAAGCCAAACCAGTCTGGGATTCTATGAATCCCCTCAAATACAGCCAACAGCATTCTATTACCTACCAGCCCAGGATATGATTGGCTTTCTGGGCTGCAAGTGTGCACTGCCTGCTCGTGTTCGTTTTCTCATCGGCCATCACCCCCAAGTCCTTCTCCGCAGGGCTGCTCTGAATCTCTTCTCTGCCCAACCTGTAGCTGTGCCTGGGATTGCTCCGACCCAGGTGTGTAGGACCTTGCACTTGGCATGGTTAAACTTCATGAGGTTGGCATCAGCCCACCTCACAAGTGTGTCGTGGTCCCTCTGGGTGGCATTCCTTCCCTCCAGGGTATCAACCGAACCACACAGCTCGGTGTCATCGGCAAACTTGCTGAGGAGGGCGCACTCAATCCCACTGTCCATGACGACGAAGATGTTAAACAAACCCGGTCCCAACACCGATCCCTGAGGGATGCAACTTGTTACTGGTCTCCAACCGGACATTGAGCCATTGACCACAACACTTTGCGTGCGGCCATCCAGCCAGTTCTTTATCCACCGAGTGGTCCATCCATCAAATTGATGTCTCTCCAATTCAGAGACAAGGATGTCGTGTGGGACAGCGTCGAACGCTTTGCACAAGTCCAGGTAGCTGACATCAACTGCTCTACCCCTGTCCATCAGTTCCGTAGCCCCATCATAGAAGGCCACCAAATAGGTCAGGCAGGATTTCCCCTCAGGGAAGCCCTGCTGGCTGTCACCAAGCACCTTGTTGATTTTCATGTGCCTTAGCATGCCTTCCAGGAGAATCTGCTCCAAGATTTTGCCAGGCACAGAGGTGAGACTGACTGCTCTGTAATTCCCTGGGTGATCCATTTTCCCCTTCTTGAAAATGGGGGTTATATTTCCCTTTTTCCAGTTGTCGGGAACTTCACCTGAGTGCCATGATTTCTCAAATATGGTGGCCAGTGGCTTAGCAACTTCATTCACCAGCTCCTTCAGGACCCGTGGATGGATCTCATCAGGACCCATGGACTTGAGCACATTCAGATTTTTAAGGTGGTCCCGAACCAGGTCCTCTCCTACAGTGGCCCCTAGGTCTTCATTCTCACAGTCCCTGCATCTGCCTTGCAAGACTTGGGTGGTTTGGTCTGAGCCTTTGCCAGTGAAGACAGAGGCAAAGAAGTCATTCAGAACTTCAGGCTTCTCCAAATCCTGTGTAGCCAGTTCTGCCGAGAGCTTCCTGAGGGGGCCTACGTTCTCCCTTGTCTGTTTTTTATTTGCTATGCACCTGTAGAATCCCTTCCTGTTATCTTTAATACCCCTAGCCAAGTTTAATTCTAACTGGGCCTTAGCTTTCCTAACCTGGTCCCTAGCTTCTCGGACAACATCCCTGTACTCTTCCCATGCCACCTGTCCTTGCTTCCACTTATTACAAGCCTCTTTTTTCAATTGAATTTTCCTCAGGAGCTCCTTATCCATCCAAGGAGGTCTCCTGGCCCTCCTGCTGCACTTCCCTCTGGTTGGAATGCAACACTCCTGAGCTTGTAGCAAGTGATCCTTGAATATCAACTAAGAGTCTTGGGCCCCTCTGCCCTCTAGGGCTGGATCCCATGGAACCTTCCTAAGCAGGTTCCTGAAGAGGCCAAAGTCTGCTCTTTTGAAGTCCAGGGCAGTGAGCTTGCTGCACGCTCTTCTCACTGTCCTGAGGATCTCAAATTTGACCATCTTGTGATCGCTGCATCCAAGGCTGCCCTGGAGAGTCACATTTCCAATGAGCCCTTCCCTGTTGGTGAGCATGAGGTCAAGCATGGTGCCTCTCCTTGTTGGCTCCTCTATTACTTGCAGAAGGAAGTTGTCTTCTACACAATCGAGGAACCTCTTGGATTGCTTGTGCTGGGCCGTACCGTCCTTCCAACAGATGTCAGGGTGGTTGAAGTCACCCATGAGAACAAGGGCCTGTGAGTGTGAAGCTTTTCCTATCTGTCTATAGAGCACTTGATCCACAGGTTCTCCTTGATCAGGCGGTCTGTAACAGATCCCCACAGTAATGTCTCCCATAGCTATATTCCCTTTAACCCTGACCCACGAACTCTCTGTGGACTGCTCACCTGTCCCCAGACAGAGTTCCATACTCTCCAGCCTATCCCTAACATAAAGGGCAACCCCCCCCTCCCTCCCTGCCTGCCAGGCCTGTCTTTTCTAAAGAGCCTGTAACCTTCCATTCCAACACTCCAGTCATAGGAGCCATCCCACCATGTTTCTGTGATTCCCATTATATCATACCCCGTAGACCTGCACACATCTCTAATTCCTCTTGTTTGTTCCCCATGCTCCGGGCATTTGTATAGAGGCATCTGAGCCGAGCTCCAACTGAAGCTGGCTCATTGGCTGGAGCAGCTGGGATACCTCTACATTGCCCCAAGCATTTATTATAGGTTTTGGCAACTGACTGGGTGTGATGGGATGGAATGATGCTCCCCTCCCCCAACACATCTAGTTTAAAGCCTTTTAATACCTGACCTGGAGCAGGTAACAGAAGTTAAGTGCACTGACTCTCTGTTAGACTCATCTGCCACACTGAGGGGAATATTTCTCTCTGTGCTGGAACCTGACCAAAACTGCTAGTAGTGGTAGGACAAAGGGGAATGGGTTAAAACTTAAATAGGGGAAGTTTAGGTTGATCAAAGGAAGAAGTTCTTTACTGTAAGGGTGGTGAGGCACTGGAATGGGTTGCCCAGGGAGGTTGTGAATGCTCCATCCCTGGCAGTGTTCAAGGCCAGCTTGGACAGAGCCTTGGGTGAGGTGGTTTAGTGTGAGGTGTCCCTGCCCATGGCAGGGGGGTTGGAACTGGATGATCTTAAGGTCCTTTCCAACCTTAACTGTTCTACAATTCTACTGACAGCAATGTGCCAGCTCAGCCTATTTTTGCTGTCTAGGACAGGACTTTCTGCCCCAGGCTGCCAGGGAAACATCCTGAGACTCGAATATCTCACTCAATGAGTTGTTGTGGGCAGCTGGGGATTCAGCAATGCTGTATCAGAGCTGGGGTGATGGATTCAGGGCTCCTGGGGCATCACACTCAGATGTTTTCAGTCTTTCTCATGGAGCAAAATGAATGTACAGTCCCTTTTTCTGCCTCCCTAATGAAATGTGATGACAAGTTTGCAAGTTCTTCACTTCTTCCCCAGTTTTCAAAGAACGGGTTTGGGTTTTTAAAAGAAGAGGTCTGATTTAGCCTCATGATTAAGGGATTTCTGAAGGGTTTTTGGATGTGTTTCTCTGCCTGTGAAGATTCACCAAGAACCATAGTTAGATGTTCCTTCAACTATCAAATCTTTATTGTTTTAATGTCCAGCCTAACAGAGTACATGCAAGCCACATGGCATTGCTCTTCCCTATTTCACTCCATCTTTCCTCCTTCCCACAGGGATGCTGCCATGCAATACAGTAACAGGGCTGAAGGCAACCACACCGCAGTGACCCACTTCATCCTCCTCGGCCTGACAAGCGAGCCCAAGATGCAGACTCCTCTCTGTAATCTTCTTCATGATTTATCTCATCACTCTCATGGGCAACCTTGGGCTGATGGCACTGATCAAGACAAGCCCCAGGCTGCACACCCCCGTGTACTTCTTCCTCTGCAATCTCTCTGTTGTTGATCTTTGCTACTCCTCTGTCTTTGCTCCAAAGCTGCTTCTTGCCTTCTTGGTGGAAAACAAAACCATCTCTTACCCTGCCTGCTTCCTGCAGCATTTCTTCTTCCTCATGTTTGTGACCACAGAGGTGTTCTTGCTGGCTGTGATGGCTTATGACTGCTATGTAGCCATCTGCAACCCACTGCTCTACACGGTTTCCATGCCCCAGGGGTCTGTGTTCAGCTGGTGGCTGCATCATACATGGGGGGGATTTTGAACTCCCTAATCCAAACCTGTTGCTTGCTGCTGTTGCCTTTCTGTGGTCCAAACACCATCAACCATTACTTCTGTGACACTAACCCTTTGCTGAAGCTCTCCTGCTCCAACAGCCACCTCAATGAGCTTTTGCTTGTAATTCTTCATGGGAGCATTTCCATGTCTGTGCTGGTCCTCATCATCACCTCCTATGTATACATCCTCTTGTCCATCCTGAGGATTAGGTCTGCTGAAGGAAGGCACAAAGCCTTCTCTACTTGTGCCTCCCACCTCCTGACCGTTACCTTGTTCTACGTCCCTGCTGGGCTCAGCCACATGCAATCAGCTTCCAAGTACTCCCTGGAGACAGAGAAAGTCACTGCTGTGTTTTACACCCTCCTTGTCCCTATGCTCAACCCTCTGATCTACAGCTTGAGGAACAAGGATGTTAAAGATGCCCTTAGGAAAGCAACAGCAAATAACCTCATTGCGAGCTGCTCATTGACCAACCCGGTCCCAGCTGGTTGATAGAACTCTTAATCTTTCCCTTTTTAACTCATTTTGTGTCAGCTGTCTGGAGGAGGAAGGAACTGAATGTCTTTACAGGAGCAGGTACAGCACATTCTAACCATGCTTTAAACTCTGCAGAGACTCGGTGATGTTAAGCATCCCCTCAATATAGGTCTCTGATAAATATTCTCTTGTCATCTCTTGGGGTTTTTGTTTTGGGGAAAATAGATGTGATATCATAGGAGGTGGCAAAAATAAGTCCATGAGGAATTTCCCTCTTCAGTTTAGCTTTAGAAGGTGCACTGATTCAAACAGTCATTCATCCAGAGGCAAGTTCAAAGGGGGATGAAGGGTTTTGAGGAGGTACATTTTAGCATGATGTCTGTAATTTTGACTTATGAGAAGTATCCCAATTTCTTCATGTGGGGCAGGAAGTGATATCATTCACCCAACCTTCCTTCCTACAAGGATGATGAAGCATTCATTACTGAGGAATCTCACAGAATCAACTTGTTTGGAAGCATCTTAACCCAACTGCACCCCAACCTGTTAAAAACCTTTGCAAAATTCACTTTTCTGTATCTAGACATGGCCTGGATGCAGCAGGAAGTACACCTTACTTTACAGATTTTAAGAAAACCTGTGTTTGATTAAAGGATTTTAAAGCTTTGTATTGCATAGCATCTGACATGTGGTACAGAAATGATCTTAGGAGAGTTCTTCTATTTTTAGCTATGGATTTTCTGCTTGGGGCAGCTGCTACCATAATGATATTTCCAGACACAGGTCTGTTTGAGAAGTTCTGGGATGGGTGGGAGGAAATATCACTTACACCCCCACAGAAAATTACAAAAAAATTTTCTTTCCCTAAAGTCATACATTCAATCATACTAAAATCCTTGGCAATAGGGGAAAATCCTACTCTCAAAGGAGGTTTAAATGGTGTTTAAATGCTCCCTCCAACCCACACAGTGCTGTGAAACCTCTTTGGCTGAGCTGGATGTTTGCAGTGGTAGGAAGGAAGGTGAAGCAGGATGATAGACACCTCTGCTGCCTCCCAGGCTGGGATGATCACAGCACGCACCATGCTATCCTCTGGGCAGTGGCTCTGCTTCTCCTCCTGTTTCCTTACTTTGCAAAAAAAAACCCTTCTGGAAGCAAATGGGATTTTATGCATTTCCTTGCATTAGCCCAAAGTAAAGTGATGTTTTTCAGATGTACCTCCTCAAAACCCTTCATCCCTCCTTGAACTTGCCTCTGGATGAATCACTGCTTGAATCAGTGCACCTTCTAAAGCTAAACTGAAGAGGGAAATTCCTCATGGACTTATTTTTGCCACCTCCTATGATATCACATCTATTTTCCCCAAAACAAAAACCCCAAGAGATGACAAGGGAATATTTATCAGAGACCTATATTGTGCTAACATCACCTGCTCTTTAAAGCATGGTTAGAATGCGCTGTACCTGCTCCTGTAAAGACATTCAGTTCCTTCCTCCTCCAGACAGCTGACACAAAATGAGTTAAAAAGGGAAAGAGGAGGAGTTCTATCAACCAGCTGGGACTGGGTTGGTCAATGAGCATTAAGGGCATCTTTAACATCCCTGTTCCTCAAGCTTTAGATCAGAGGGTTGAGCATAGGGACAAGGAGGGTGTAAAACACAGACGTGACTTTTTCTGTCTCCAGGGAGTACTTGGAAGCTGATTGCATGTGGCTGAGCCCAGCAGGGACATAGAACAAGGTAACGGTCAGGAGGTGGGAGGCACAAGTAGAGAAGGCTTTGTGCCTTCCTTCAGCAGACCTAATCCTCAGGATGGACAAGAGGATGTATACATAGGAGGTGATGATGAGGACCAGCACAGACATGGAAATGCTCCCATGAAGAATTACAAGCAAAAGCTCATTGAGGTGGCTGTTGGAGCAAGAGAGCTTCAGCAAAGGGTTAGTGTCACAGAAGTAATGGTTGATGGTGTTTGGACCACAGAAAGGCAACAGCAGCAAGCAACAGGTTTGGATTAGGGAGTTCAAAATCCCCCCCATGTATGATGCAGCCACCAGCTGAACACAGACCCCTGGGGCATGGAAACCGTGTAGAGCAGTGGGTTGCAGATGGCTACATAGCAGTCATAAGCCATCACAGCCAGCAAGAACACCTCTGTGGTCACAAACATGAGGAAGAAGAAATGCTGCAGGAAGCAGGCAGGGTAAGAGATGGTTTTGTTTTCCACCAAGAAGGCAAGAAGCAGCTTTGGAGCAAAGACAGAGGAGTAGCAAAGATCAACAACAGAGAGATTGCAGAGGAAGAAGTACATGGGGGTGTGCAGCCTGGGCCTTGTCTTGATCACTGCCATCAGCCCAAGGTTGCCCATGAGAGTGATGAGATAAATCATGAAGAAGATTACAGAGAGGAGTCTGCATCTTGGGCTCGTTTGTCAGGCCGAGGAGGATGAAGTGGGTCACTGCGGTGTGGTTGCCTTCAGCCCTGTTACTGTATTGCATGGCAGCATCCCTGTGGGAAGGAGGAAAGATGGAGTGAAATAGGGAAGAGCAATGCCATGTGGCTTGCATGTACTCTGTTAGGCTGGACATTAAAACAATAAAGATTTGATAGTTGAGGAACATCTAACTGTGGTTCTTGGTGAATCTTCACAGGCAGAGAAACACATCCCAAAACCCTTCAGAAATCCCTTAATCATGAGGCTAAATCAGACCTTTTCTTTTAAAAACCCAAACCCGTTCTTTGAAAACTGGGGAAGAAGTGAAGAACTTGCAAACTTGTCATCACATTTCATT